ACACTGCGTGGTACTTCTCGGCTATGCGTAAAACCGTCGATGGCAACGCGTACTGCAGCCTGCTCCACACCCTGGAAACGAGGTTGAGTCTACGGTGCTCGCTATTTGAAGCACAAGCATGTGACGTCGCGTGATAGAGTGCTGTTGCTTCCATAATGTGTTTACAGCTCCACGCTTCAACCACCAAGGTTGAGCGTTGTGAGTTCGCTGCACGCCACGTATAATTCAGTGTCGCGTTATAATTTCGGGGGCCTGTTTGGGATCAACGAAGGATCGATGCATTGCTTCAACTTATCGGGATCTTAAACGCAGTCACAAAAAAATTGACGAAAAAGACTTAAGTGTCCGACCCGGCGGAAGACACCCTCCACATTTTTCCATGGACGTGGAGCCATTTTGGCGTCGCGGGAGACCGCGGTCTCGGATCCTTTCAGGAGCAAACATTTCTCGGAGACCGAGTAAAACTTGCTCTATAGATGGTTGAACCAACTTGAATAAAAGTTGAATCGACTTTTTCCTCGCCAGACGGTCTCGCAAATTGTAAGAAGTTTAAGTTAACGTTTGTTGAAGAGTCCAATACTGAAACTTAATTATGACCTTCCTCCATATTTTATGGTCACACTCAACATTTTCATTTCAAATGACACCTTCACGTTTTATTGCATTATTATTTATTGTCAAAACTGTACAATCAGGCTTCGCCTGTGTACTACGGTAACCTTTTCACTACGTTTTCCAAATGCGACTGCCTCACGAAATGCCAATTTCACAGACCAATGGGAACACTTACAGACAGTTGCAATGGTCAGATGGTACATAATTATCATGTTCGTAAATCGACGGGGGACAGGGGGAACGCCCCCCACCACATTTTTCAAGCGGGGGACATTGTTTGGTCCCCCCCCCCCAAAAAAAACGTTTTCTTCCCCAAATAAAAATGTTGTAGCCTACAATTATGATTCTCATTACTCAGAATACATGTAGCTGATTCAATTACTCCAAGCTCCAAAGTTTAAAAGATGATCTTTTGCTCAAATTGGTTTTAGTGGTCAGAAATTGTCTCAGATCACACCACATAAATTGCTTTTCTATAACTGCATGTCTCCCCAACTATATCCCCCATTTTCATCCCCAACACTACGCCCTACCCGATCTATGATCGGGTAAATCAGCTTGTACAGGAATAAAGGGAGTGATTTCTTGATTGCGGGGGACGTATTAAGTGGTGAACCCTAAACACAACAGGTGGCGTCAGCACAGAGGTGACTCTCCGACCCTTAACTTTGCAAAGGAATCAAAATTAAAATTAGTGGAGGCTACTTGACTTCTCAAAAACAGTGGACTTTCTAATCACAGCGTTGAAGATATAAAATTCAAGAATACAATTTCCTTTTACCAACAAGCTTGGAACAAAGGTTTAAAACAATTTCCAACATGTCCAATAACTTTTTCTCAGCAAACGAATTCTCCAAAAACAAATTCTAAGACAGCTAATGGAATTATCATTGAACTATGGGTTTTTGAAGTGCCTTATGCATATTTAAATTTTATGCAAATAGCTATAGCAGATGCAGTTTCCAAACTGATAATCTATGATTGGCATACAGCAGCGGGGTGGCGATAGGCGTGGGGTTCGGGGCCCGCTTAAGGGCCCCGGAACATTTCTGATTTTAGATGCTCTGTGGTGCAATCTGAGGCGATTACTGGGCACTTCCTCTGAAATTTTGAAGCAGAATTTATTTTAATTTTAAGAAGAATTTTCCTTCATTTGTTAAAATGTACTCTTGTTCTAATAAAATTTCTTCTGTACTCAAAGTTGAGAACCATGCTGTTCTCCCCAGGATTTTTTCAAACCTGTGGGGGAATTTTTGTTGTGATACAACAACCTGCGAAGCCACGGCGTGGGTTCGGAGCCCGCATAGAGGGCCCCGAAAAATTTTGAACTTTACAAGCTCCTGGTGCATAGCGCCGCAAACATTCAGTCTGGTCGGCCCTACATCGCGCCGTACACACGGCGCAGTGTCAGTGACAGTGTGCATTGCTGCACTGTGAACGGCCCATCCCACGTGGCCGAAAATTCTGCACTACTGCAGAGACACGCTGCGATGTTTCTCCACAGGTTCGAGTTTTGCAATCTCGTCATTTCAATGGAAAATACATACACAGAAAATTAACATCACGTTCTGTGAATTAATTTGCAGAAAATCTCTTTTTCCATCGATTTTTGTTTGGTATTTTTACTATTTTCACAAATTTCCCGAAAGCGGCAGCATTCCTGAGCTGCCGCTTTCACATACAAGGTTTCAAAATAGTCACATACAAGATTTCTGGCTACGCAACCGGCAGTCCCAGGCATCACAGGGGAGCCTCCTAGCAACAGTATTTCTAAGCAACCAGGTTGGAATGTGATGGGCATGCAGCCATGCACCTGTGGCTCAGATAGCTAATCGCTCCAGTTGCGCGTTGAAGGAAGTCATATTCTTGAAAGCAGACGGTCCGTGATGAAAGCAACCAATGGCATATTTATTTGCCGGGAACCGGCTCATTTCATTGGCTGAGATACTATCATCACTGTTTATCATCTAAGAATCTTCCAATTACTGGCGGCAAGTTCTCAAAGTTCGGTGGCCTACAGCTGAATCCAAATGTATATTTGTAACGAACAAGAGTGGCATTGTATCAATTTGAACAATGCGGCTATCAATCATTCTCTGGAAAGGCTTTTCGGAGCTGAGATTTTATTTGGGCATTTTTTTTCTCAGAGACAGGGGAAAACTCTATGCGAAAAAATCATTTTGCTTTTATAAAAATGTTTAGAGAACCAGACGTAAATCTCTCTCTGAGGCCGGGAAAATAAAAAAAAGGGGATGACGATTTTATTCTTCATTTATCAAAAAAAACCCACATGGCCTACATTATTTCGTGTACCGGTACATGTTCTACTCTAGAATATATTTTGGAATATATTTTGACATGAAGCATTAAATGCAAGTGCTGTATTAAATGTGCCCCCTATTCCAGCCGGGAAATAAGAAAGTGTCTTATAAAATTATATTCTTGCTTTGAAAGAAATTTTGAGACAATAATTGGCAGGCGACCTTCAAAACTTATACATTGTATATTTTTGTTGATAAGTATGTATGATATAGTTATGTTCAAAGCGATTGATTTGATGACCGCCCATCCGCCCGCCATAATAATGACTCCTCAAAAACGAAAAAGATAGCCATGTTCTCAAAGGGATGTATTTAATGCCCGCCCGCCATAAGACGACTAATAAAAAAAAAAAAAAAAACAGTTTCGAAAGGGGGGGGGGGGGGGGGGGGGGGGGGGGGGGAACGGGCCGGGTGTGCCCCCATCAATGGCTTTGGTTCTGGAAAAATCCAAGAAATAATTAATATCAGATTTACTAGTCCCTAAAGTTAATTGAAAACTGAAGGAAATATTCCTGAATCTACGATCCCAGCTGGACCCACCATGCCAACAAACCCATGGACTAAATTAATGCCCCCCACCACGTGGTTGATCTCAGGAAAGACGCACTGCTAAACTATGTCATGCACAGCTGGCCACTGGTTATCTATCGTCAGATCAGCGAGGCTGGCTACATTTATATACAATTGTAACAATCGTGAATTGGTGGTGGGCATTTTTTCGTTGGATGTCTCTTAACTAAAACCATTTTTCGGTGTGAATCTTGAAATGCATGAGCAGGTATAAACCAATAGCACCAACAGTAAAATTATCGACTACCCAACAAAGAAGTTAATAATTCTTCACATTTGTTTGCATTCTTTTGAGCCTTTATTATCGGGCCATCTAAAATATTGTTTCGACGTACACATCCGCCGCGAAGAATTACACCATCCTACTTTCACTTCCCTGTAAATGAAAACAACAACAATCATATTAAAATTTAATTCATAAAAAAGAAAACGAATCCGTGGAAAGGTTTTGCGTGGTGGCAATGGAGTTTCATCGAGATGAATATTACAGCCCCATTTCCCTCATATTTCCTTTAATACTTGTTTCTTTTCATGTGTTTACGTCGCCGTATTTCACATACCTCTGCTGTTGCTGGCGGCCGTGCACGGGGGAGAACGGAACATTAACATGACAAAGGACGCACACAATGAGACTTTTAATGAACTCGGGTACTTCGCTGGGCGCCTGGTAAGCCGGGCGTTCTACCCCGGGAGAACGGGCCTATTGTTGGGTTGAGTTAATCCCCGTTCAGAACGGGAGGAACGCGGGCGCTCGCGTCGGAACGGGAAAAATCCTTTTGATCTCCTCCCTAAGTGCAATGACTTTACCAGATACCATGAACACTAACCACATACCAAGCTTGGTTGAGATTGAACTTACACTTACAGAACAATAACTTTCATGACACTAGACAAACAAATTGGCATAACTCACGGGCTACCTAGGACCTGTTGCCTGAGTCTAATCACTTTACCAGATCCCATGAGCAATTACCACATATTTGGTTGAGATTGATGACTGTACTTTCAGTGAACCTTACCAAAATGGAACTTTCTGTATACACACACACAGACACACGAAGGAATACGCGATCGCCATATCCACCTGTATGGCTTAAAACCCAGGGGGGTAAAATATAATAAGAACCTGAGCTTGACTATAATAATGTGTGATATATTTTAATCGTAAAGTTGAGGCGCTTTATCAGATGGCAGTTGGTTGTTCCCATCCTTTTAGCAGGTTAAAACCCTTGACCTACTGTAAAACACTCGGCCATCCATAATATCCATCACCGCAGGCAAATTTAAACCAGCACGCTTTCCATACAACTTTTGTCGGGCATAGCACGCAGTTGCAGGTGGCGTGTGTAAAACTTGATCAAGAGCTTCAGTGGAAGGAGCAACATACAAAAAATATAATTTAAGTAAACAGCATTGCCAAATAATCTCTTTGTAACTCATAGTTGATCTTGATTCAGGGAATAGAATGCTGAGTTATAAGTTTATATTCCTTACCGTCTTAACATGTTTATTTGTTCTGCACCGAGTCCTCCATTATTTTCTGACACAATAGCCAATCTGAACTTCAGCTCTTCAGCATCCATTTTAAACCCAGCAAGAAAGATTCCAAGATTCTGGGCAACCTTTGGGTCCAAAAAGCTCTTCAGTTTCTTCTTCGATGTTTCAACTGGATTGAAAAAAAAAAGGTTATTTCTTTACCAAGGATGCCAGGAATGTCCAGTGTTACAAATTGCATTAAGATTAAAAAGTACTACTATATATAGAACATTGTAGGATGTACATATATATATAATAAAAATAATAATTTTTTGGTTTCCCAAGTGCATACAATGGGTTTCTGATATGTGCAGACAAACACATATCGCATACAATTTAACAAAATAACTAGAACCGAGTTGCCCCCCCCCCTTCCCTAGAAATTTGGCATCCAGAGAAAAGCACAGCCGTATGAGTTAACACAATTTGCTGGAAGAACATATAGTCCCTTTTTCCACCATATTCTGCGAGTGTGTGGAAAGCTAATAGCAGTAGTTATTGTCTAACATTATCCATGATATGGTGTCCACCCCCCCCCCCCCAACTCTTTCACTTTACGGAGGTCGGGTGTCCGGTGAAAAAAAACCTGACTACCTTTCAGCACATATGAAATTTGTGGCGCCCCCCCCCCCCCCCCCCCCACCGAGGATGAGAACCCTGGCTACAGTGGCGTAGCCACCGGGGGGGGGGGGGGCGTGGGGGGCGACCACCCCCCCCATGAAACCTTGTCGCCCCCCCCCCCCCCCCCCCCCCCCCCCCCCCACTGAGATTTTGAGTTTCTAAAAAAATTATCATTGATCTACATGACGCCATGGGCCCTATTATGTACTACAATGTATCTTTTGCTTAGAAAATATTGGTTAAAGTGGTCAGAAATTGCCTCAGATAGCATCACAGAGCATTTAGAATCCAAAATTTTTCGGCCCTTTTAAGCGGGCCCTGAACCCCACGCCTATAGCTCAGAATTCTGGTAGCTGATTCAATGACTCCAACCTCGAAAACAATGTTCACAAAATTTTCTTATGCCTTTAGCTGAGAAAACCTCGAAAATTATGTTTAAATTATTATCTTTTGTGCTAAGATAATTATTGGATAAAGTGGTAAGAAATTGCCTCAGATCACACCACAGAGCATCGCCCTTAACCCCACGCCAATAGCTCAGAATACCGATAGCTGATTCAATGTCTCCAACCTCGAAAACGATGTTCAAATAATTATGTTTTGCCAAGAAAATATTAGTTAAAGAATGGAGGAAAGTCATAAGAAATTGCTTCAAATCACACCACAGAACATCTTAGCTGCCAACATTTCAAAATCCCAATTAGTAATCAACCCGCGCGGTCATTTTCAACTTCTCGTTTTATCAAAAGCTTTACCAACATCGAGTACAGGTACATGGTTTACATGTACACATACATGTGCGTACCCTTCTTGTTGTGAATAATAATGTACTGTAGGCCAAAAGATAATTAAAAAAAAAATTAAAAAAAAAAAAAAAAAAAAAAAATAAAAATTTTTAAATTAATTTTGTTTTAATGTCTGTATTTGTTTGATGAAGTCAAATAAATAATAACATCAATAACATGTGCGCATATTTTTTTGGAGATGCATGCTATCGATGTTGAGTTTCGAGTTCGTATCATGGTTTTACACACAATGATCTATGGCCACCGTATGCAATAGAAATATCCCGCCAACATACCTTGCAAACGCATGCTGATTTATCTTTTCTGTCCGTTGTGACAAACTCAAACTCTATTACCAATTATTCCAACCATACTCTTATTAAATTCCATGATTAAAATCTCGAACTGATGGGTCTCATCCCGGCAATAAGTGACCAAATGTGCTCACGATCGTCACTGAAAAGTACTCACATAAAGTACACACAACCACACATCCATGAGATGCACACAAATGACACACCATTGAAAAACAGTTTTAGTCTGGTCCTCAAGTACTCCACTGCGCACACTGCATTGATGTCTATCAGGTGCTTGACTGCATTCTTATTAGACTTGTCACCAGTCCATCCATTATCGCGACATTTCGCCAGAAGTTTTCGGTCAAAAACGATACTTTCCTTCTTTTTTTTTTCGTTAGGTAGAAAATTGGAAATTCGTAATGTTTTGGTGGCAAATCGTATTTTCGTAATTTAACAAACAATTCGTAATAATTACGAAAAAATCGTACTAGTTGGCAGCTAGTTGGATTCTAGATCAGTGATCTAGAATCCAATTTTTTTCGGGGCCCTTAAGCGGGCCCCGAACCCCACGCCGTAAGGGCTTCGCGCTTGCATCAGTTGTGATCAAGGTATGTTCCCCCCCCCCCCCACTTTGGAGAAGCAATTGACGCCCCTGCTTGACGCCCCCCCCCCCCCCCATGAAATGTTCCAGCCCCCCCAGCGCCCCCCACTGAAAAATTCCTGGCTACGCCACTGCCTGGCTACTAGGATTGGCATGGGCGTCGCGAGGGGGGGGCAAGGGGGGGCACTTGCCCCCCCCCCCCTGGAAAAGCACAAAAAAAAAAAAAAAAAAAAAGGAAGAAAAAGAAAAGAAAAGAAAAGAAAAGAAAAAGAGGCGCGAAGACAAAGTGGTGTAAATTTAATGAGTTGGGGGGGGGGGGCAAAATGTCCCTGCCCCCCTCTAAAACTGATAAATCGAGAATGTGTTGAGAAATACAAGCATTTTTTGGCAAAATGTCTTTTTGCCCCCCTCTAGAAAAAATCCTGGCGACGCCCATGAGGATTGGGCGGTGCTAATCTTCCGGAGCCGGTTCCGGTTCTGAAAAAAAAGGGACCAATTCTGAGTCGGAACCGGGTCCCGAAAAATTCAATGAAAAACATAAGCTCTGGAAATTACATGTAAAGAATAACTGTGTCACCTTATGAGGTCCGTGTTCCATGGATTTCGACGTGCAATATATGTATTTCACTACGTGTTTGGTTTCAAATGTTTGTCTTTTCCCTGTGAAACTATGTTTAATATGTTTTTAAAAGCAAGCCTAGTATTTATTACTTTATTTTCTGATCCTTGCATATGATTTTATTTACCGCGACGACCGCCATGCCGCCAAGAATAGAATGATCCATGCACAGCACAAGTACACACACACGGTACGCGGTACGCACGTACACACTGGTGGACCTGGGTACAAATTTACCAGGCTCCGATTCGAACGAGTCAAGGACAGTGCAGATCGTATAGCAGCCCACATGTTCAAGTGAGCAACTGCATGACTTTTCATTCTCACCATCTGACCAAAGCAAAGGATTAATTCATTTTCATGCAATGGTAGATTCCAGACTCGTATTAGTATTTTGTACCTGTACCCCATGGCCCGCGAAATCCAAATCTCTAAACCAGTTGTTTCCAGCCGGTGTGATATGAAAATGGACTCATGTGAACAACAGACTTCTTTTTCGTGATCGGTCCTGTTCCTAATTATCTATGCATCAGCATGCGCAGTATCAACACGGAGTCGTTCTTTCATAAACCTAAATTCACGCTACAATGCTTGTCCAAAGGGTAAATCATCCATGGTACAGGGCCAGTATTGGGTTCAATGCTCTGCATGCACGCCTCATACCAACCATCCTCAGGTCATCAGAAAGTTGTCGTGCATACATACTTAAGGGGCTGCCCCTTTGAGCCATGCATTACACATTAGTGTAAATTTAGAATGCGGTCCATCCTTGCAGGAGCCATCCTGTGTTTTGGTCCAAAACAGCACCCAAAAATAGATAGTTATTAAAGTTAGTACTGGATGTGACTTGTCCTCGTTGTAACAAATCTGAGGTTTTATCCAGATTCTAATTTAGCTGCAGTGCTCTTTGCTTGTCTACCCTGTTTGGCCTACTACTTACCAGTCATCCAGGTACCTGAATAAAGTAATTAAAGCGGCCAGAATATCATTTTTTTTTATTTGTTTGCTCTGCCCGAGTGCAGCGACTTGCGTGTTCGTGCATTTTTCTTGTCTCCAGAGTGCACCGTTTTGCGCACGCCACCGTTTTGTATCGCCATATTTCGACAAGTTGTCTATAAAAATTCAGAGACAAATTACCATTATTTTACCATTAATTTTTAAAGACTTTGTCGGCTCAGCAAAGTGACTACCTGTCTTTATTTGAAGAAACGATATAGCCATTTATTAAGTTTATAATGGATAGAGGTCATATAATTAGGACTTTTTGTCACAAATATTTTCATGTGATAAGGACATTTCGCCTCTTCAGTAAATGAGGGCGCTGTTCATGTAATTCATTAGGGCTCATTTATGGATTTTTAAAAAATAAGTTTTCGGGGTCAAAATTATAAGAGTGTCCATAACAAGAGATATATGGATAGTTGTGTCCCAGGACAGGGTGTACACAGACATAGGATTTGAATACATTTAGTAATTTTATTTTATCTTCTCTGTAACCACCGTTACACCACATTTTCTCCCAGTTATTTCCGCCAAGTTCAGTCACGTCAAGTAATTTACATCAAGTTACATCAAGATAATTACAGCAATTTAGTTTCACCGTCATACCCTGTCACCACGAACTTGCTGCAATTTATTTCAAGTCACCAAACTTTGTCGCCAATTTGTTCACTCTCCATCAAGTCACAGTATTATTATTGATTGTAGCCACTGCAAATTGTCATCTAGACTGTCACCCCATTATTGAAGTTTGCCACTCCAGACATTAAAGTCATCGTTTGAGTTGAATTGATATCTTAAATTAGTCATCGGTGCATCTCATTGCTGAGTAAGATTTCATTTTTGGCGATCTGCAGCACGGAGGCTACAGTAATCAATTCTTGCAGTGTATTTCTCCTATGGCTTTGATTTAAAAAAAAATCAAAATTAAAAAAAGCCCCTTTTTAAAAATATATTGCGAATATTGATATATTTAGAAATTACACTTTATTAGTTTTTCAACAACAAAAGAATCTTTCCAATTGGGTAAATTTGAGTTATGGCAAATTAAATGTACCGTACCGCTTATTTAAAGTACCCTTTTTTCATTTTGTCCACAGCGATTTGACTGCCACAATAAGAACACAGGCATGTACATGTAGAGGACAGAGGCAGAGCAGCACAGTGAACATTCAAGGGTAGCGTTCATCATTTGTAATTTGTGCATTATGTTCGTTTGAAGCAACAAAAGTGCTCACAATCTAAAGAAGGGTTCTGAACAGCTAACCTCATGAAGTTTCAGCTCAGTTAATGCTGTACATTCCAAGAAAACACTATTCTAGGATCTCAATTTCAAATCAAAAGTTGCCGAGTCATGTTTTGAATTGACCTGAATTCAGCGTCCGAGACACATTCCCGCTGAGCCAACTGCAGCTACGTGATGTCGTGCACTGAACTGACGAATTATAGCAACCGAGCGCATGTTCCCGTCATGTCAACTAATCTCATGTGCACGCTTTGCCGAATTAAACATGAACTACAAAAGGAAAGTTTCAAGAATGTGTCTTTAGACGCATCGTTGGAAATGGCCTTCTTTCATTGATTTCTTCAAACTGACAGCTTGCCAGTACAAATAATTTTGCAGGGAGTTTAGTCCTATTAGTATCTTTAAACAAAGTATGCTTTTCAACAATAAAACGTCAGTCACTTTTTGGATAGCTGCAAATGATGCACTGTAGCTTGCAGAAGTTACCAAACAGTCCTTGTCAGTCCTACCATTTCTTCCAAAAGGGGAAATGACTATTGTTGCAACACGCAAGGAGAAGAAAAACAAAAGAAAAACAAAAAAAAACACATAAAAGAGAGATTACAATGTAAAAGAAGGCATAAACTACATTCCTAATAAATGACCATTTAAACCATAGACAAAATGTTAAAACTCAGCTCTTTTTTGAATTGGCCATAACTCAATATATTATTTAGCAGATTGGACAGATAATTTTGTTGTTGAAAGCTAATGAACTGCACTCTCAGCCCTTTTCTGAATTGGCCATAACTCAATAGTTAGCAGATTGGAATGTTTTTTTGTTGTTGAAAGTTAATGAACTAATCTACATTTTATTTAAGCTGTGAAAAAGAGGGGGCTTTGGGGGTCCCTTTTTTCCTCCCCTGTTCTAATGCTTCCTGTTTTGATGGATGGATGGATGGGTATTAGCATTTGGTCAACAATCTCGCCCAATGCATGGGGACTCATGAATTTGAGGGCATATCCCGGACAGACTGTGTCAAGTACCCATCTTTCACATACAATCCGGTACCAGGACCCTTCAAATTTGAATGCAGTCTCCTACCAATCGTACAACAGAAGGCTAGAGCTGAAGATATCATTTGCCCCTTTTACAGGAGTATCAAGTAGGGGGGGGGGCAGCAGCTCAAAAGACTGACCACTGTGCTGAGAATGACAGTGGGTTGGGTTACTTCGTTAACTATATGTTTCTGTAGAGGACGGGAATCCGCTACAAGCATTCCGTGAGGCCTTAAAAGGCCAGTAAGCAGGATCTGGACAGTAGTCCTTCCTTTTCGTGCTTCTGTACTCTCTTGAGGCATTTTGAATTGTGGATATTTTGTTGGATTCTATGCCTTTGGCTTCTGCCTGCAATAGTTCTTGAAACTTGCAAGACATATCAACAAGACATTGCCAGCCAACAAAAGGTCATTGAAGCACTTCCAAAGGTATCTATGACATTCTCTCATTGATGTGTAATTTCAAGTTTCAAAATTCTTATAAATTGCTTGAGGACAATATGCAGATTGCTATCAAGAAAGTAAAAAGCTTGTATC